TCTGCAGGAAGGGGGAGAGCTGGGAGACTCCACCCACTCTGAACGGCGTCAGTGGTCCTAAAGGCCACACACCTGAGAGCTTCGAGCTCAGCCAGGTAAGCACACACACGCCTGGATGATTATTAAGTGATGGTCCAGAGTCGGGGTCAAATACCTGCCTGAGGAAACACCTTCCTGTCAATGACCCCCTTCTCCCTTGCTCCGCCTACAGAGATGCGACTCCACCCGTCCTCCATTGATGGTCATGGTTGAACCTGCTCTACCTGTTCACCTGGGCACAGGCACCGGATAAAACACCACACATTCCTCCCCCCCCCTCCCGAACGCCGGCCTGTGGCGCCTCCTCTCCTCCTGACAGCCTTACCACATTTAGGATAAGAGATTAACGCACAGATTATAGTGATGATGATGATGATTTGTCTGAGGAAGCTCCAGGTGGCGTCTGATCGCACAGGGAGACTGAACCCGTTGAACTTGACTGCTGAGATCGTCTCCAGGTCAAAACCAAAACGAAATTCTTCACCTGTAAACACACAGATTGTTGGTCACATGACTCTGGCTCCTCCCCCTGTGCGTTCAGATGCTGATGCTTACTTCCTGTTGAAACCAAAAGCTTTTTTCTTTAGTTTGGGCTCATTTTGTTTTAGTCACCGACGGTGCCGAGTTTCCAGAGACGATGAGGCCTTCTGCCGGCTTGACCAGAGACGGCCTCTGAGGTGAGAAGGTGTTCTACCTGCCGTTTGGCGTCCTCAGAGGCCCAGAGCCAAAGGGAATGATTGTTTCTCTGGTCAGCAGGTAACCTTAGAGGACGCTAACGCTCCTCTGCTCGCTTTAGCCTTTCAGTGTTTGTCTGTCTCGTCCAGTTCGCCTCCGGTCAGGATGTGGACGAGGCCCACGGTCGGCTTGCCTCTCCTCCCCTCCCTCCCCCCCCTCTCCGACTCCTCCCCTCCCCTCAAAGAGAGCTACCTCGGGCTTCGTGCCAAACCTCTAAATTGCTGTTAGCCTCCCGCTGCAGGTCAAGCTAACCTACCTCAAACCAAAAGCCTCCTCTGGGACCTTTTCCCTGTTTTAGCCTTTTTGCCCACGAGACCTTGGCGTTGTTGCTCTGGATCCATCCCTCGCTGTCTGTAGACGTCTTTGCTTCTGCTGATGAGGCACGGGAGAGCAGCTCTGTACCTGAGAAGATCTGACTGCTTCACCTGGGAAAGGTGAGACAGGAAAGTGTGGGGCATCTCCGGCCTTTTCTGTCCCGATTCCAATGAATGTTTTTATGTTTTCAAGGGCTTCCACTTCCCGTTACCTGCCCACAGGTGTGTACAGCCCCATGAGCCATGTCTAAACTGACCTCTGATGTATTTTAATGTATCCAATGAATTCATATAGATGAAGAGCAGCTTTCTGTAGAGTTCAGCCAAATATTATTTAAAATGAGCTGAATGCCTTCCAAAGAAAAGAAAAACTAGTTTCCTGTTTGTTTTCACTCCTGTCTGAGTCGAAGAACAAACAAAACCAAAATAATTCCTCGCCATCACATTTTATGTCTCACACAAACACTTTGGAAAAAGGAGTGAAAGTATATTTTCGTATGTCGTAGGATGAGCTGTCAGGAAAACCAAATAAATGAAGGATAAAACCGCGCTGACCAAAAGCTCAGAAGTATCCAGATATTATGTTTGTATTTACGCCACAGAGCATGCTCACTCTGTGCGGATTAATGTCTCTGCGAGTGACCTCCGACCCCCTGACCTCCTGATCCTGAGGACCAGGTCCCGTGTCTGATCCGTGCAAACATTTTCCAGACCAACAGAGAAAAATCGTCCATGCTTTGGAAACGTGTCCTTCTTCCAAACATACATTCTTCAAATTTAACTCATAGATGATATTTTCTCTCTGCAGGGAACGTTGAACTCTTTTAGATGTTTGATATTTTGGCATTGGTGCTTCCTAAAACAAGTTAAAAGAGTAGAAAAACAGAATGAAAAGATTGGATGTGCTGATGAAAATGATCCGGTATCACCTCGAGTGCATGAACGCTGTGCTTGGCCATCAGCCCGAGGACTCTGAGCTTCACATCTGCAGTGTTTGTGGCCTAGGGTTAGGGTTAGATCAATAAATAAATGATAAATGATCCGGTATCACCTCGAGTACATGAACGCTGTGCTTGGCCATCAGCCCCGAGGACTCTGAGCTTCACATCTCCTCACATGAACGTTTCTTTAATGTTCTCCTTGTGAGCTGAGGGTTGTTGTCTCTGCTGCACGACTCAATCCACAGGCAGCTGTCCTGCTTCTCAGTCTAAATCCATCAGTGATGGTGAGCTGTTCTGGTCTGTATGCACTGAAGCAGTCCCAAACCACGACACCACCATAGATGCTTTTGGACTGCGGGAACATTTCCGTAGTTGTGGTCACTCCACGCTGCAGGAAGTACAAACTGCCAAAGTTCTTGGAACCTGTTTAGCTGCTAATTCAGGACTTTTACTCTCTGAGTGACAAAGTGCATGCTGATTGGTGCACCACCATCACTCGCCATTTAAAACAGTGTAATCAACAGTTAGCTCTACAAATGGCAGAAACCCTGGAGAACAGGAACTCTGTTCTTCTCTGTCCTCACCTCCACCCTCATTAGTTGCAGCGTCACTATAACAGTATGTGAAAGTGCTCTGTGGTCCTCGGCTGAGACAGTGGTTCTCAATGCTTTCTACTCACGCTGCTCTCCTCCGTCCTCTAAAGAACCTTCATCACCTGCGTTACAGGCAGTGCTGATCATTTCCTGAAGTCCTCGCTCTTCTCATCTGTTCAGGACTCACTTCCTAAAGCATGCGGAGATCTAGACCTGAAAGCACCTGTTTCAAATATCGTTTTCACCCATAAATAAAGGGTCATATTTGAATGCTATTGAACTGCTTTCTGTTTAAAACATTTTAGGATGTTTTAACTACTGATGCAGAAAAGGACCTCAAACGTTTTCCTGGAGCCGGTGCTCCTCCTTAAAGCCCAGACTTATAGACCAGAGTGTAAACTGTGCCAAAGTGTAGGTCAGGGTGGGAACTCCAGGTTTTGGATCTCACAGTCAACACACCTGAACCACATGATGAGTTCATTACCAGGCCTGTGGAGAACGTCACATGTTGAGGAGGTCATTTAGGCGTTTAAATCAGCTGTTGGATCAGGGACACGTCTAAAACCTGCAGGGCCCTCGGGGCCTGGAGTTCGACTAGCGTAGGTGAAAACTGTCGTGAGCCATCTTTGTGTCAGAGCGTCTTTGACCTCCTCCCCCAGTTCAACAAAACACCCTCCTTGCTGTCTTCAGGGTCAAAGGTCAGAGGTCGCAGAGCTCCCCACTGTCTTCATCTCTGCTCCGAAATGAGACGATTGTTCCTAAAAGTAAAGTTTTGTTGAGTTTTTGTTCTTTTTCTAGAACTTTCGGCTTTCCGTTCATTCTTATCTTTCCGTCGCTGCCGTTTGGCAGCAAAGAGGAAAGCTGCCAAAATAAAGACATTAAAATTAGTATTTTTATTCTAATAATATTATGATTCTTCCAGTTTGACTCTTTTCTGATTCTTTATGTTTGTAGCTGATGTGAAGATATTTGTAGAGTTGTAAAAGCTGAAGGTAGAGCCTCTGATTAAACAGCCATATTTACCCGTAAGCCATACGTGATGTCAAAGCCATGCTGTGCATAAAAACCTGTTTTATTGTTCGTCCGAGCTCACCTCCTGCTGTCGACACGCTGTAGAAACTAAACCTGAGATGTAGCGATCGTAGAGACTGAAGCCTAGAACCAATGAGAAAAATGATGCTTTAATGATTCTGTTTCCTCTATAAAGATGTTTGAATAATGTGTCACAAAAATAAAAGCACCCAAAGCTTTAAACTGCTTTTTAAACCGAGCTCTCGTATCCAGAGCCTGCTGTTTGTGCTGCAGATTCTCTGCACAGACTGTTTCTCTGTCCTAATTTCTGCTGTTCAGACACATAAAAACCAAATAAAGCTGAAGTAGAAAACATGTCTTTGTTCGTCATTTATTTAGCGGACGAGCTGCTCGTGCAGCGACACCTGAGGTTTGACAAGGTGAGTTTAATGTACAGTCATGTGAACTGCCGATAAAGACGCGTTAAACCGATTTGTGACTGCATCAGCACTAAAACTGTGCAGCGAGAGATTGATGGCCGAGCAGCTCGTGCAGGCGTGAGGTGAAGTACTTTTGTACCTCACCTTAACACCCGGATATCACCTGGGTATCATCTGCATAGCAGTAAAAATGGATGTTTTCTAATAGTATTAAATAAGGGAAGCATACATTAAGATCACTGGTCCCAGCACAGAACCCTGAGGAACGCCACGGCCAGTTTTGGGTGTTAGGGATTACAAAGTAACAAGTTACTGTAATCACATTACAGTTGAAATGTTTGTCATTACTTTCATTGAACAAGTTGTTCAGAGAGTGGCAGCTGGACAGAAAGAAAACAAATATTAAGGAAACATTCTTGTATGGTACAGTCAGCTGATTCATGTGCAGGAGGACATGGTGGAGCAGTACAGCGATAGCTTTCGAGGAGTGGAGATGTGGGCATTGCTTTTATTTTACTACAGGACAGGAAGACAGTCGAGTGGAAAGTGCAGCCAGCACACAAACAACCAGACTTTTCTACTAACACAACTTTGACTTGTCACAATAGTGCGGTGTCTCCTTAAGACAGCGTAAGTTGATGTTTAGTGATGTCACAAGTATTCACCACTGCCCTCTGTAGAGCGGCGTGCTCACACATGGACCTCACATCGTTACCTCACTAACTCAAAGTATGTTGTATGAACTGTATGTTGGTTGTATGAACTCTGCTCGCTTCATGTATGATGAGACCGCAGCCGTTCAGCCGGGCTTGTAAGGTTGGTGTTTATTAAACACTGTGGAATTCCCACTGACAGTGTGGTCGCATGCTTTTGACTGTCCTGCTGAGCGTGTCGGCTGCCTCCTGTCGACCACTGAACACAGCCCACGTTACAGACACTTTGCTAACATGTGAACGGGTGGCATGCTAACGCTAAGCTAGCCAAGAACCCAGAGTGTTGTTAAAGCAGACGTTAGCCCAGCATCCAGAGCCTGAACTTATGAGCTCATCTTTAATTTGAGTTAATAAGTGATAAACTAAAATATGTTCATATGTGTGTGGTCATTAGGAGAGGGCTTTGAGTTGGTGGGTGGGACTGTAGCCTGTAGGTAACTGGTAACAGTGGGTTTCAGGTCATTTTGTAGAGAAATCAGAAAGTAATGTAACCAGTAGTCTGACAACATACTTCTCCGGCGAGGAATTAAATAAGTTACTACATTACTTGAACTGGATTAAGGCTTAACGCCTGCATCATTAGGGGCGTGGCCTCCTTGACTAACAAGTGGATGGTGAAACAGGCAGCTGTAGCTGCTCGCTGTCCGCTTGGCTGAACTGGATCTCTGGACCACGTTTGTGCTGTCAGACATCATCTAACCAATAACATGACTGCTGTGAGGTCACCATAGTAACAGACTGAGAAGGCTGAGCTCTGAATGAGTGAGATTTGATTTGATGTATGCCACGCCTATACCGCCTCTGGATGCAGACACATCCTGTTGTCTCAGAGCTCCACCCTGTGGTTCACAGAGTGGGCACGTGTCCCTGACGAGGTCATCCAGACACTAGAAGCTGCTCTGTGGATTCAGATGAGATTAATGATTGATTGAGATTAATGAGAAAAAAAGATGCACTTTAATTTGTAATCAGGAGGCATCAGCATGCTGCTGACCTCTCTTAAAGGCCTGACACAAGGGTCAGAGGTCAGCGCCTTCTCTCTGAGCATCATCTGTGGAGGGCGTGACAAACCATGTGATCTAAACCGATAAAGTCAACATGCAGACAAAATGACCGCGTTATTCTGATTCTGTGGCAACAACTCTGCTCAGGCGCCTGCAAATAAAAATCACCTGACACAAAGCATAAGTCACATGCTAAAGTCACGTTTCATTGGCTGATCTGCTGCAGTCTGGTTGTTGGTGGAGGGCTGCGGCTCGTGCTCCCTGCTGTGAGGACCCTCTCTGGTGGACATTCGGTCTATGTATTGGGGCGAAGTGTCCGCATCACTCCTCACCCAGCGGCAGCAGGCGGCGAGGTCGGCCCTAAAGGACGGCGTGTAGAAGCCGTAGATGATGGGGTCGCAGCAGGTGTTCAGGTTCCCGAACACAAAGAGGGCGTGGTGGACGTACTCCGGTGTGATGCGCAGCATGTCCTTTCCGTCGCTGCCGTTTGGCAGCAAAGAGGAA